CGGAGAGTAAAAAGCAAGGACAATCCTCTGTTATAAACCATCAACATCCCTGAAGCTACCGGAATCACCACCGAAACTACTTTTCTTCCATCTTAGACTATCTTCTATGGTTGTTGATCATTTACCGGTCAACAATATTATCTCGTGATAACTATCTTAAATTAGTGTTATTCCACATTGGCTTTAGGGTGAAAGCTTAACTATATATGTCTAAGTGAGCTAGATTTAGAATCTTAATCCAAAACTAGAAATATAAAAGAGGAAATAAAAGAACACATACATAGACAAAGTTTTCAAGCCATAGTAAACAATTAACAAATATTAGGCTAAGAAAACCAACATTCGACTTGGGATATATCCGATCCAGGTATGCTCAATTTTACATGTTTTTTCTGAAGAATCACACCTCTGTATACACGTCTAAATATGTATCAAGACTCTGGGACAGGGATGTAAATGAACCGAGCTTAAACAAATAAAGTTATATTTGTATTCGTTCGTTTATTTTTTGAGGTGTTCATGTTTGGTTCGTGTTCGTTTATTTATTTTTGAAGATTTTAATTTCACGAGCATGTTCTTTTAACGTTCGCTATCGTGTTATTTAACGTTCGTGAACATGTCCGACAACCGACACTCTTTTTTATCCTTTCATTTGCGAGCCAAAAAATGATAAAATTATAACACTAGTCCTCAAGTTCTTTAGGCTTCACAACTTTATGTTCAATTTAGTCCCTATATTCATCAACGGAGTAAATGAGCTTATAAACGAGTCGATAAACGAGCTTATAACGAGTTTGTTCATGAACATAAACGAACCGAACACATCCCTATTCATGTTCGTTTGTTTATGAAATGAACATAAAATTTTATACATACTCGTTTATTTAGCTTGATAAACGAGCGCTACATGAACCATCCACGAACAGGTATATTTACGCGCCACTACTCTGGGTAGATGAAAAGTATCAATCATAATCCACCAGAGAAAATTTGTAGTCTCTTCCATCTAAAAGCAATGCATTCAATAAAATATACAGCTAGAAATGTAAAAGCCCAGCAGGGAAAACAATGTAAAAGCACATAATAAAATACAACAATAAGAAGAAAAAAATGAAAGGATTTGCAGAAAGTACCTGGCTTAAAGCACAATGGAAAACAAGAGTACCTTTGCCTCTAACATCTTGAATAAGATTAGGGATGCTATCAGTGAAAGAATCACTGGGATAGTGCAGAGACCCAGCTATATGCCCATCGTAACTCCTTTCATCATCCCTTGAATTCACAACATAAAAGAAACCCAATATATATATCATTCCAATTAATCAAATCAAATTGAAAATGTTCCATAAAATCAAATGGAATTTAAACTAAGAGGAAGAAAAAGAAGTGAACCTGACATCAATAATGGCAATATTGGGAAGGCGTGTAAGGGAAAGTAGTTGGGAGGCAGTTATGTAGGAGATGGTTTTGGCCATTTTCTTTTTCGGATCTGATATGAGAGATTTAGTCCTTACCGAGGACATAAATTTTGACAGAAAGTATGGAGACTTAAGACCATGGTAGTCGAGTAGTGTAGGTCACAACAATAGGGTGTAGCATCTCTGTCTTATTTTTAATGTATTTGTAGTAATTTCCATGACTTCTACTTTTTATACGTTTCTGTCATTGGAATTTATGAAGGCTTAAAACTAGGGTAGCGGAGTAGTGTTGCCTTAGTTTAGGTTTTAACCCATTTGACTTTATTCCTTCTCGTAACTTGCTAACTCTGACTACTGTGTATCCTTCTCTTCATGTTTCCTCTTTTTAAATTTAGCCCGGACTTACGTCTCTGTCTATATGCTGAGATTTTTACGCAGTGATTTATTTGCAGAGATTATTTCTCATTACAGACGCGCATATGTAGACTGTATATGAAGACTATTCAACTATGTATTTATTTATTTATTTATACATGCATTGTATTTTATCTTTATTTTTAATTTTCTGACTACCGGAGGTCTTCCACGGAAACTGCTCCCAACCTGGCGTTGGGGGCAACCTACTATCCTACCTCTCCCTTACTCATTGCATATGGGAATATGATTTTGTTGTTGTTGTTGTTACCCTCTTTTTGTTCTTGTACAGAAAGGATCCAGGATTGAATTTCAGATTTCTTTGGAGGTAGAGAATCCGATCATCTTATGTAATTGGAAGGTGATCCATAAGAATAGTGGAACGAAGTCTCGTTAGTCAAAGAGAATATTATTTTCTCTTAAAGGTCCGAAATTTAAATAATTGTATTTATAAAATGTGTGTGTTTTATCAATATGATTAAAAATGATTATGGATAGATGTTATTTTATAATTACCTTATATGATTAAAAAAATAATTTTTTTTTCACACAACGAAAGTGCGTCCAGATGATAATGTCTTATCGAAGACGTTCCTTCCTAATAATGTCTTTATTGTATTTGACAAGGTGTTTGATAGGGTGGTTTCCAAAGATTATATGGGATAATTTATTAGGTATAATTAGGGATACTTATTGTTCGAGTTGGAACGAGCCCGATAGATTCATCAAAAAAGAGAAAAAGTCTACTGACGCAATACTATCGACCTCCAATTAATCGGGGAAGAGGGAATCATAAAAGAGATAATGCTTTAGACTCGTCTTCATCAATACCGTCTTGATTGACAAAATTTAAATAATTAAGTGATATGGTTGATAAAATTAAAAAATCAAAGTTCAAAAATGAAATCCTCTAATAGCTAAGTGATCGTTGGTGTAATTTACTCTATATTTTATATATCATAGTTGTTCAAAGTATTTATCAAACAAAAGGGCGGATATTAACTACTATACAAAATATTAACTATTTAAAAACGAATTTCGTAAACAAAATTAATTAAATGAATTAAAATAAGAGAAATATTAAAAAGTAAAATATTATTTTATTCAATTAAATTATTATAATATAATTTAAATAATATGTTTTCATAACTGATAAGGTTAATTCAATCTTAGGTTTACTCTTTTTCTCTTTCCTTTTCTTTCGTTATCGTTAGTGACATCAGATTTGGTATTAGTTATTGTCAGTATTCATTATTTTTCTTTTGTTTTATTATAGTGTATCTTTTTTATTCTTTAATTCTTAATAATTTTGTCTTTTTAAAATGTCTTATTCTACCACGTTTTCTTTACATTCATGACACATTTTCAAGGAATATCATATAAAAAAATTAAATCAAATTTTAAATAAAATATACATTCGAGAAAATCGTCTTCCTTAAACAAACAATCAACAAATAGACTTATGACACTTTTTATCACGTAAGACAAATATATTATTAAAAAATAATGCCTACAGTAAGACGCTACTATCTGAATGCGCTTTCGACGACTAAAAATGTGTCATTTTAGATTTTAATTTAGATTTTCTTCAACTTTAACTTTCAAATAGTAAGCAGGCTAATGTATATTACACAAAAGTTGAACATAAGTGCCTTTTACTCTAAAAATAATATTATGTTTACCCTAGGTGAGATAAATTGTAGGATACTCTAATAAAATGGATGATTGGAGACATCACAAAGTGGGTTCAGGTTGAGGGTGGTCCTAGTCCTTAACTTTTACTGTTGATTCACAAGTTTTCACTTCCTTTCTTTTCTCATGTGCCTGCATTATTAGTATTCTTTTTCAGCAACTTATTTGTAATATACCCCACGACTCCTTTCATTGGTTCTTGGGGCTTCCTCTCCAAATAGGCTGTGGAAAAAATTATTTTTTCATATAAGACAACCGTCATATCATTTTTTGAATTATGACTTTTTATTAGTCTGAAGACGTCGTGTATTTATGGATCTTTTTAATTTGTCTGAAGACGTCATGCAGTCGTAAAGTCTTCATATTTAACTTGAAGATATATGAAACACCTAACGTCTTTAAGTTATTTACTATTCAATTCATCTTAAATAGGAAAATAATTCTCGAGATGAATTATATTGGGAATTAAAAAAAATATCACTTATATTATCTCAACTATTTTACCTGGTTCTAGGGATTTGCGCCAATATCAATAATCATCATCCCTCGTCCTATGTATTCCAACATTGTCTCTTTTTAATGGACTCATATTTCATATATACACACACATGTACCTTAATTTAAAGTTAACAAACGATGTCATGTTTCATATATAAAGTTAATAAACGATGTCATGTTTCATATATATATATACATGCATGTACCTTAATTTAAAGTTAATAAACCATGAAAATAGACACGATTGAAAATAATATCAAAAAATAATATTTTAATTTGGGCTCAACCTAAAATATTACATTCTTCATAATATTTTCGGTTGCAATCTAAAATGTTACGAATAATGTAACATTTTAGGTTTAACCGAAAATGTTATGAAGAATGTAATATTTTAAGTTATGTCCAACCTAAAATGTTATATTTTTTTACAACGGTCGCATCCATTTTCGTCGTTTTTAGCCTTAAATTAGGTTGTATCACAGAACTACTGGATTAGGATCCACTCACACAACGTAATTTTTTTTAGTTTTACACAAAATTAGAATCGTTTGATGAGTGAAAATAAATTACTGACATTAAGTTATTGTTTTTCTTCTTCCAATGAATATCTTCTTATTTCCTATCGTTAAAACTAAAAAGTTTTACATTGTGTAATAAGATATTATCCTTATATATTTTATTAGAGGTGGATCGAAGGGATGGTAGGCACAATTGTCTCCTTTGTAAATTTTATATTTTTTATTGATAATTTATTTTCGTTTCCTAAAATTTAACAGTCTATCACTCTTAAAGTTTTATAAATTTATCTTTTTACATAAAATCTTGTATTTGTTCATATTATTCACGAAGAGATGCCCCAACTTTCATGGCATTCGCTCATTATTTCGGACACATAGAAAACCAATCAGATTCTTTTTATTATATTCAAAAAAGATGAAAATTGTTGACAAGTGAGATCCATGATACCAAGAAAACAAGTGGACAAATAGTGACATTCTTTCATGAAAAGGAAAGTAAAACTCATGCTGTTAAAGTTCACTAGCTCCGACACTCTGGGGTCAAGGCGTGGTTCCTCTTGGGGTCCCTGCAATAGTTATACACCATATGGTATCTCTGTACCCATCTCATTGCTGCACGTTGCTGCCTTGTTAGCCCGCCGGACCGAGAAGGGGAGACAGAAACAGGGCGGCACCAAGCCGGAGCATAGGCGGTGCAACCGCTAGCTTTGAAATTGTTGTACTCTGCAACAAATGGTTGGTATTTGTAATCGGCTTTGTACTTCCCATCCTCGGTTGCCCATGATGAGGCATCCCATATTGAACCATACACCCACATTGGTCTTAGAGGAAATGTAGCAGCACTCTTCCTTGGATACCTTCTTATGGGCACATCATCCACTAGGAATCTGATATAAATACCACATTCATTATTTAAACATGTATCGAACACGTATTCGTATCAGACACTTGTCTAAATTTAAATATTGTGGAACATCATTTTTGTATTTTGTATTGGATCTTACTTTATTTACCTACTTAAAGTAAATTATTAAAAAGTATAGGAAATCTATGTCATGCATGTGATGCAGCTTGTTGCATTGATATTTTCACCTGTGAAAATCACTTTAATGTCTAGGATTAATATAATCTCCAAACTTTTATGCATGATGATTTTGAGAAATAAAAAACACACACCAAATGCTCACTATTCAAATTCTAAATTATTGGAAAACCTGAAAAAGGCAACAATACTTTAGACTTCAGAGCTAATAGGGACAAGCAAGCCTACCATCCTGTCCAACACCTCATCAATTCCCAAGATATATCAAACATTATAATTTCTTGCAAATGCAATGTTCCTTTATTTTAACAAATTAATTCATGGCAGGTCTCGGTGATAAAAAAGAATGTTGTTTTCTTAGAGGATCCGAGTTCGAATAATTACATTTACAGAATGTGTAGCTAGAAAAGATTATGAACAAATATTGTCTTATAATCACTCCAAACTATTAAAAAAATAAGGTAGAATTTCCATAAGCAAGATTGTATGCTTACATGATCTCTTTAGGCTTCCAAAAAATGGCATAGTGGTGAAAGTCTTGTGTTGGATCAAACCAAAGGTGAAATTTCATTTCCCTTCCAATGATCTTTCCATCCCCACTCCCTCTGATATAAACATTGGTCTGCAAAGTATAAGGTTTCCCATATGTGGTTCCAAGAAATTCTATGTCCACTTCATCATGAAATCCCGGATGAGCTTCATTGTTTGATAGCTGCCATTGGATCAAAAAAAACATGTCAATTCCTACATTATGCTTGTTGAACTGCCAACATTATACTAAAAAAAGATGTCATTTCTTACATAGAAAGCTGTTATGACCCCTGCAGTGTAACCAGGTTGGACCTTAATCGAGGCTCCAAAGTAACCGGATCGAAAAGGCCGAACAGACTTGAATCCACTTCCTGTTAATCAACCAAAAACAAAGCAACTAAACATGGTATACATAAAATAAACTGAGATCGAATACTCTTATATGGTTGAAATAAGGTAGAACCTGAAGTTTTGTCAAGCCAGATGGTTAATGCATTGTGGTGAACAGATTGATGGGCAGGACCCCAAAGGATTTTAAAGCCTTTGTGAAAGCTCATAGGCCTGAATTTAGAGCTTGGCCAGTAACCAGGAGAAGGTGGCCAGGCAGCATTGGTTGAAGGAAACAAAAGGATGAGAAGAAGTGAGAGAAAGAGAGCCATGAAGAGAGTGAGAAACACAAGGGGGGATATAGACTGATTTGAGACTATAAATGCTGGGATATTGTCACTTGTGACTTTGTGTGTGAGAGAGGAATTAGCTATGGGACAATTGTGTACATGGATGAAGAGTATGGGAGTACAGTTTGCTGCATATATATATATATATATATATATAAAGGAAGATTAGTGGGTCCTCAATATGAAAGGAAAGAGCTAATGAGACTTTGTTCTGCTCATATACTTGTGTTTTTTTTATCATTGTAATTTTATTCAATTCAAAATATTAATCTTGTTGATGGAAATAAGTTGATTAGTCGACGGTTGAAGGTTCATCCTTTTTTATTTGAACAGAAAATTACAGCTGTGAGAGAAGATAATGCCGAGGAGAAAATAAGGGGTGTCCACGAAGTCGAGATAAAAGAGGTCCTTCATTTTCTTAATCTTTTCCCGGGATATAAATACCTTGATTATATAATGGCTGGTGTCAAGCATATGATGATTATAGTTGTCAGTTTATATCTGACGGATTATTATGCATGTTTGTTAGAAATACAATAATGAGATTGTCACAATCTAAGGAATACGAGACTCTGGATAAACAGTAAACGGAAATGAATTTTTGAGATGTATCTTTAAATTATACCTCTTAAGATATAGCAAATCTCTACTAAGATCGTGAGATAGATAGATAGATTGATAAAAAAATCGTAATTCATTTAAAAATACTTAATTAAAGATACTGACAGTTAAGTAAGTTTGTGAATGAAAATGGGAGTAATGGTGCCATTGGAGTCTCTGAAACTTCATAAATGGTGTGGGTCATCAGCCACCCTGTGTGGGGTCTTGAGTTTGATTTTTATTGTACCTGTTGGCCCTCATTTTTGAATTTCCTCATTGGTTTATTCTTCATACAAATTTTAATAAATACAACAAAATTTAAAATCAGATGGTACTTGGGTCATAAGAATTGTCATTTTCCGGCTAGTATTCCGTGTTTTATTTTTCAATGTCAGAGGAAAAACCATGCAATCCACTACTTTTTGCTGCCTAAAGTGCTTGATAATAATTCATCAATCAATTTAACATTTAGTTATTCAATGTGATTTCATGTTTTTTCCCCGATGATAGGAATATTTTTACAAAATCCCATATTTAAAAAAAGAATAATGAAGGTGGCACTGTTGTGTCGGTAATAGGTTGAGGAAACAAGCAATGTATGGATGGGATGAAGGAATGGGGGCCCATTTTCACCGACAACTCTAGGATGCTTTATGATTTCATCATATATAATATAAAATATATGTATTTGCAAATATTATAAAAATAATGTAATGTAATTACTGAAATATAATCTTTTTTAATAAAAAGTTAAGTTTCCATTTAATAAAAAGATGAGATATTATAAGGATAATATAAACCCAATATAAAAATTTAAAAATTGTGAAGACAAATAAAATCAAAATATTCTTTTGTCATTTTCGGGGAAAAACCTAACAACTATTAATAGTTCATTGTCTCAATTTAAACCTAGATGTAATATTAATGAAGACGTGGAGATTAAGAGAACTAATCTCACAGATAATTACGTGAACGGTTCTGAATGCATCGACAAAAAGTTTCAAAAGGAGAGTTAATTATACGAGACTATCAACATTTTTTAATCAGAAGGAGTGTCATATGAATGCAACACGAAATGTCAAATATGATAACGATAGACAAAACTATGTCATAAAAGTAGTCTAATAATCGTGTCATAAAGACAGACAAAATAAACGCTTCAAGAATATGTAAAAAGATATAAATTAAAACGGGAGAATATTTATTTAGATTTAAATCAAAAAGAAAGTTAAACAACAAGAAAATAAGAAAAAGAGAGGCGACGATCACTTTAAAAGCCACTTTAGAGAGAAAACCCGAGCTTAGATTTTGATCAAATTCCACATCAGATATAGAATAATAAATAAATTCTTAAAAAGACCAAATTAATATTGAGTAGCTATATTATATAACAAGTTGAACAGTGATGATTGATGAATAATGCAAATTAGGTAGTGTCATATGGTTGCACATGTTAGGTAAGGACCTAAGGGCTGAATCTAGAAAATACTTGTGATAAAGGATACAAGTACATGCATCCGTTCAATGAATATTGTATATTCATATTCTGACAATTAACATAATTGGAAAAATAAAATAAAAAGGAAGAAGATGTGTAATTAAACAAATATTAAACTAATGTTTGGGATTATTTCATAAATTGAAGCTTATTTTTGTTTCAGAAGTTGCATATGCCCACTATTCACATTCTTTTTTTTAAGATTTAATATAACAATTTAACACAAATTAAGTTATTTAAGTGGTTAAAGAATTTTTGTTATTCTTAGAGGTCTCAGATTGAAGCACCCGAAATTTCAAAGTATTTAAACGTTTATTATCAAATGTTTGAAAATATTTATAACATATAGTGTCACATATAAATACCCTAAATTAATAAAAAGAGAAAAAAGATAACAATAATTTACTAGTAATTATTACTCCTACTTGTTACCGTGGGGGAAAAGTGAAACAATTTTTCTTTTCCTTTAACGCTTGATTAGATATGCATCTTAGGATATGTATTGGTGTAAATATAAGATGCTGATTACATCAAGCATAGTTAACTTATTAAAAAGATTTAATCATTTGGGTATACATTTTACGTGGGATGGACATAAATAGGATTAGATTAGATTTTGGTTTATTTAAATTTGATCAGAATATTTTATTTTTTCACTTATCAATAGATTCTATTTAGATTTAGGATGGTTCTACTCGATCCAATATCTAATATGATTTTTAGGGTAAAACATGCATCTGGTCCAATATAACTCGAATGATCACAAATATAATATTTGAATCCAACTAGATCTAATCTCATCATTCAAAAAATTGATCCTATTTAATCTGAACTTGAATTTAAAAAAATGATCTAAAAGACCGAGTCGAATTAGAATCCATGGAGTTCAAATCAAATATTCATTCCTAATTTTATGTTTAGTCTTAAATTTGATATATACAATAAGAGTATTTTTATATTTTAAAATTTTATACTCTAAATTTTAAATGAAATATTAAATTTTAGATTTTTAAACACTAATTCATAAACCTTAAACAGAACGTGTGGTATATAAGCAGGGGTAGATACACTAAACCCTTTTGGACCAAGTGCATCACATTATTTTGGATAAATTATTAAATTTAGTTCAATATATTAAGAGAGGGACAAAAAATAAGAAATTTTGCATACTCATTTTAAAAAAGAAGTAATAAAATTTTGGCCTAATTTTTAAATTTATAAATCTGTCACTACATATACAATTATTTTTTATAAAATAATTGATTGAATTGATATCGTAAATCAATTTGACACTAATTTAAAAAATTATCAAAAATACTTTTGTCTGTATTATTATAAAGATATTTTTTATACTTTAAAATAATTTTTCTAATAAAACAATTATATTACATGTTATTTTTTTCATTTCTACACTTTATAGTGTAGGATTACAAAAGAAATTGTAAATGTTTGAGAGCCTCGTATCGTATCTCATATTTTTAATTATTGAAGAAGAATTGTCTTAGCCGACACTTAAAGTTATTACCTTTTGGCAACTTTAAAGTTGCTTCCCTTGGGGAAATATAAAGAATGAGTTAGTTCATCATAATTAGTAGGGCTCTCACTTCTTTTTTTGGGTCTGAAAACCAGGACTTTCCTTTAAGAGACCGTAACTGCCCTTGTGAAGGACATCTCCCCCCAACCCACCCACCACCTAAAGTATGGGTATATAATTTGAATCAATTAGTCCAGCTTAAACTTTTAGGGTAAACTACACGTTTAATATCTTATGGTTACTTTGGCCACGAAATTGAATCATACACAATGTTTAGTATATGTTTTAATTTGGTACCTCACCGTTAAAAAATTAATAAAACTATTGACGTAACTATTTTTTTATTTTTCCAATGATAATATGACATTACCTTATGATGATACGTCAACATCATCGTTAAGTTTTTAACAATGGGATATCAAAATGAAACTCAAACTAAACATTAGGTATGATTTTGAAACAAAATAAAGTTTAGGTACCAAAATAAAATAAAAATAAAAATTAAGATACTAAATGTGTAGTTTATCCAGACTTATTTAGGTTTAGATTCTATATAAATACTAATATACAATATATTTTAAACATATTCAAACCGGTTTGATTTATGTTTAAATTTGACTTGATACATATAAATGTACAAATAAATTCAAAAATTCATATAATAATTTTTTTTTAAAAAGTTCTCAAATTCTCCTCCAATGTATTTATATTGAATATTTTAGAAATTTAGAGAAACTTCAAATCGATATATTTAAAAGGTATTATTTTTAAATGTTAGAATTTGTAATTATTTTATTTATATTATATTTTAAAAATGGATACTCAATATTTATGATATGAAAACTAAGTCATTATATGGTTTGTCCTTGTTGTATTGTGTATAAACTGTGAATTTAACATTTGAATTTGAATTTGATCAGTTTTAATTTATATATATTTTTTAAAGTTTTAATATTTTAAAATTAACTCAAATACTATAAAAATAATATAACTAAATTACATGAGTAAAATTTATCAAATTGGAACTAAATCTAGAATTAACTTACAATACAGAGACTAATGGTAGAATTTAATTTAATAGATCCTATTATTATTGTTTAGATACAGACCAAAATTTTAATATCTGAAAAGTATAAAGATTAAAAATAACTAAAAACATGCTTGTATTATTTGGCCCAATGATCTGTTCTTTTGTTCATATTAGTCCATTTCATACATTTTTATTAATATTTATTAGTATAATTTTATAATTTTGAATAATAAATAATGGTTATTTACACATATTATTTTTATAATAAAATCATTATAAGGTGTATATATATTATTATATAGCTTTACATTATTAGTTTTGTATCATATATTTTTATAATGTATATATATATATATATAAATTATGATATTATTTATTTTAAATATTTTTATATGTAAAATACCAAGA